CCATGATCCTCCATGAGCCATTTTTAGCTTTCACTCGAAAAACGTTAAGAGGAAAAAAACGATAACGTTGCACATTGATTCTGTGAATGATCTGTGCTCTGTGCCCAGACTCTCGAAACCCAATGTTTTTTATTTTTCCGTCGTTCTGCAGCTATTTAGTGTTTTTGGTTTGTCAATTTCATTATTTGTTTTCGTAATGGCGCGCCAACGAATGCGTGTCAGATTCTGCACAAGGAAAAGGAAGGTGCCTGGTAGGTGGTCGCTACACTCCTTTTTTGATGATTGCAGCCATTTGCAGGAAAAAAGAACGTACACAGGATTCACGAACGATAGCGAAACGATAGCGAAACGATAGCGAAAACGATCACTTTTGGCATTTAAAATGGTCCGTGTGAGACACGGCCTTTTTTCCTTTTCCTCTCTCCTTTTCCTCTTCCTTTCCTATTCTTTCCTGTCCCTTCCTTTACTCTTCCTTTTCCTTTTCCCTTTCCTCGCTCATGTGAATCCTTTGGTCGAGGTGTGAAGCCAGCGCTTGGAAAAACGATAAGAGGAAAAAAACGTTAACGTGCGAAAAAAAAACATTTGAAAGGGCTCGGGATTTTTACAAAACCCCATGGGATGTTGAAAAAGTGCATGCTGCTGTGGCGCGAAGCACATTTCGAAGTAGAAAGTGTTAAAAACTAGCGGTTTCTGAGCTGTGTATTAACATAGTCCAATAGTACCAGCACATGGATTGGATTGGCATGACAGACTTATACCATGGGTATTAATAATCGTGGTTATGATCATTTTTGTTGGATTTTTGTTTTACTGGGAATGGTGACCTTTCCCCCGAAAACAAAATCCATCATAATGCCCAAAACACCCTTTGGGGTAATTTGCCAATGATTGTTCAACTCTCGTGTCACACTATCAAATCCACCACTGCTCAAACCATTGAAAATGCAGAAAATGCTGAAATTAGTCATGGGTGGTATGTAGCTGCTCTTAAGATAGTCCCTGCACACGGGAGAGGGGTCAGCTGCCCCTCTCCCCTGTGCACTCCGGAGCGCTTGGGCCATGGATTTTTGATTGCACAGCCCCTCTTTGATGTGTTACAGTAGATTGTATACTTGGAACAGAAAATGGGTCTTTTGGGGATCAAAACTGCAGAACCTGGCTTGGCTTGTCTTCCTCTTCTTCGGCTCTATTGCTGATCGCCGGTATTTCTGCTGGAGGTTGGCATGAAACCAAATAATGAATTAAGAACGCGTGAAGAATGTGAGGGACCCTCACCTTAACTATCCCCAATCTTTTGGGCAATTGAAATTAAGAATTTCAGGTATCTGGACTGCCAGCTTTCGGATTCTTGTAAGCCGCTCTTAAGATAGTACCAGTGAGGTGGTGTGCAGTCCGGAGCGCTCAGGAGTGCACAAGGGAGAGGGGCAACTGACCCCTCTCCCGTGTGCAGTGACTATCTTAAGAGCAACAAAACTATTCTAAGTTCAATGATTCAATTTTCTCGATTATAGGCACTTTTCTACCAGTACATCTACGTAATGTCGGAACAAGTTTCCCTCTCATTTTTCACATCTCCCTAGCCAGTGAGCCACATCTAGATGATTACATCGAGTTAGAATATCTAGCCAGACCAGCTTACTACATAGCATTTTGACAAGGGAGCTGGGATTGTTGTTTTGCTGTTTATGGGTTTATGATGGTTTATGCGTTTTTTTTAAAGACCTATGAGGGACTATTAGGCTGTCTTAAGTCCATCCCAGGTGTCGGACCACTTTTGAAATTTGAGATGTCGAAAATTGTTTTTAAAAACAAACCGTCTCGGACCACTTTTGGAAGTTGAGATGCCGAAAAAGTGGTGGCCGCTGTGGCGCGAAGCATTTCCAAGTGAAGAGCGTTGAGAACCTGACAGTGTCGGACCACTTTGCGGGCTTGGAGAGAGAGAAGGTCGATGTTGGCACGGCGCCCCGGGCGACCAACGTGGACCAAGCGCGCCGCCAGAGACAGCCCAGTGCCGTAAGAGCCACTCCTGCCACGCAAAAGCAGCTGGGATGTAGTGCCACGCCTGTCACGCAAAAGCAGCGTGGATGTCGCCAAGTCACACGCCTGCCACGCAAAGTCCCCCACGCAAAAGCCACGCGTGCCACGCAAGAGAACGTCGATGTGTGTGAAGGTTCCTGGAGCTTCATTTGTACCAACTAAGTTGGTACATGGTACGAATGGTCATTTGTACCTACTTGGGCCCAAGTAAGGTCAAATGGACCATTTGGCCGTGAAAGTGCGTGAAAATCTGAAAAGTGAAAAACTATGAAAAAATGCTTGCTTAATTATGCTTAATCCATTGCTATAAGACTTGCAAAAGCTCTGCAAAAAGCTGCATGTCACAAAAAACTGTGTGACGAAGGATCTTTGACTGGCAAATTGTCTTTTGACAATTTGTTGACGCAAAAACTCGGGCAAAAGGTATAACCGAAATAATGGGTACGTTATACTGAGAATGAATCTGTATATATATATAAGCTAATAAATCTATCTATCTCTTTCTCTTTCTCTTTCTCTTTCTCTTTCTTTTCTCTTTCTCTTTCTCTGTCTCTTTCTCTTTCTCTTTCTTTTTTTCTCTCTCTCTCTCTCGCTGCTCGCTCGATATCTCTCTCTCGCCCTTTTTTTTTCTCTCTCTCTCTCTCTCTCTCTCGCTCGATGTTTCTCTCTCTCTCTCTCTCGCTCTCCCACTCTAGCTCTCTAGCTCTCTAGCTCTCTAGCTCTCTCTCTCTCTCTGTCTCTCTCTCTCTCTCTCTTTCTTTCTTTCTTTCTATCTTTTTTCGCAAACATCTAATCATCTAGATACAAACATACGCGTAAACCCTTTGTTTTGGGAGGTTTAGAATACATGATTTACACAGGTGCCCCATTTTTTTTGATCACCCAGGTTGTTGAACATCGTTTAATCCATTTGGATGGTATGTTTTGTGGGTTTTTTCTGGATTTGAAGTTATTGTTTTGATTTTGCGCCAGTCCCTGCCGCTCATGGCTGCCCGCTGCAACACGTGCAGACCAATGGGGGTATTAAAATAGGTTAAAGTATAGGTGTGTGTGTATATATATATGTGTGTGTAAACATGCATATATATATATGTATGTATTGGACCAACATGTGCTAACCCAAAGGTGGGGATTTCCAACAGGAAAAAACATCCTTAATCAATAAACCAATAAATATATATATATATAAATAGTATGTGGTCTATTTATAGTTTACAGGGGTTGGTATGCAATACCACGCCAACTTTTCAGATGGAAACATCACCTTTGGTTTTAAGAGCATGGACATTGGGATCCCACAGATACCAAAACAAAACTGAAACAATCAAACCATCACCAAACATACAAACAATCAAAGCACTCGACCATGCGCGATGGGCTGCCGGTGGTTAAGTCACGTGGCTTATGTTTGATGCCCAGGCATGAGATGGGAAAATATGGGCAAATGATCCTCGAAAACGGAAATGTGAAATCGCCATATATCTGTCTGGATGATTATTATGTTTTTACATTAGTAAATGTGGAGATCGTGCCAGAAAACGTAGTAAAAAACAAATCTGAACATATATAGAAACCAAGTATGTTTTTCATTTCCTGATACTTGTTTGGGGATGATGATTCCTGCGCTCATCTCACAACTTGCCATTTTCCATCGATCCCTGCAATCGCATGGTTTGATCAATTTTGATCATCTTCGCTGCAATCATCCTTAGTGTGGTACCCGTTTTGGAACTGAAGGTTTCCAACGTGCTGTGCATTGGATTGGAACAACTGGGTGTATCCTGTCAAAAAAATCTCCGTATATCTAAATACATATATATATATATGTATATAGATGGATAGATAGGTGTACATAGATTGATTTATGGGAATTTATTTATATATATATACATATGTATATTATCATATTGTTTAAATGCCTCTATTACATGATATTATATTATGCTTTATTATATATACAGTTTTTTTGTATATATAATGAACTATATATATATATATATGTACTATATGTAAAATATATGTTTTGGTGTCTTGAAAGTGTTATGCTGTGGCATGGCATCATGGGCTTTACGAAATTTGGCGACAAGCGTGTCAATGATTTGGATTTGCTTTCAGGTCATGTAGTTGGAGTTGCATGCTTGCACCGCGAAAATCCATGCAGGCGGATCTGCATGCAGCTCGCTCCCCGTACGTCTGGAGCATCTGTTCTTTACCTGTCGTTTTTGTTTGCAATGCTTTGTTCCTCTTCCTTCTGCTGTATTTTCATATGTACAAACTCCAAACAAACCTTGTTAATGTCTGCGCGCAGCTCATTTCACTGTGGAATGAGCACTTTTTGGTGACACCTTCGATGTGCTGTGTTTTCATATGTACAAACTCCAGGCATACTTTGAAAACATCTCTGTAATCAATATTTCTATCATACAGCTAGTGCTGAATGGTTTTGTTAGTCCATGCCCAGGTCATGCATGGGAATGCTGCGTGCGCTGTGAACTGGATATCGAACTACAACATGGGAGGACTGTAGTTACTGCAGGTGAAAACATCAGGGATACTGCCGTTTAATAGCAGGATGGTTGTAATAGTTTTGATTGACCAAAACCTGTTTTCACATTTATTTTTTGATGGTATATCCAAACACATTTGTGGGTTCATCTGCAAAAACCTTGCATGATTTCCCCAACAATTGAGACCAAGCAGCGTCATATCGCATTTGATATTGCCACGCATGCAGGACCAGAAGATATATGGACTGCATACCTTGAGGTGCCATGGATTCAGGGCTGGGAACTTCATTGTGGCTGCCCCCCTGGTGCAATTCTATTTCATTCCCAATATGGGCTCTGCAATTCACATTGGGAAAAGAAATCCTATAAATGCGAATACAGTTCTTCTCCCCTGGATTATCCTAAATTTGTGCCCCTTGGCTCCCTAGGTGGCGACTACATCTATAAAAATTTGCAATGCCGAAACAGGACAGCTGCTTGGGATTGGCCAAACAAGGATATAGAAATAGATTGCCAGAAACAGTATCCTATTATCATATCACCAAATGATATGATTTCGAATTTTGAAATTTCAGGGGAAAATCTATGAAGTGATTTTCACATCACCTTGGACCATGTGAAAGCTATATAATCTGCTGAGTTTTCTCTTTACTATGGGCCCCTTTGTTTCAGGAGACTGTCGCCCTATGGCAAATTGACTCCTCTTTGACATCAAGTACGCCCACCCTATGGTCCCTGCTTGAGGGTGTGGGTGCATGGCCGGGTTTGTGCTGGAGCTGTTGCCATCCATATGTGTAGGCTCCAGGAAGATCATAGAATATCAATTAAATACAATCAGATCATTTTTGGCAACAACATCCCATATACAGTAACCTTTATAACTAAATCCCAGCATAGTCGGAGATATATGAGATATCGATCAGTTACGGTTATGAACCCCCCTGAAAAATACATGTGGTGACCCGGCTCATATTAAACAATGGATACAGCTTTGGATTTAAAACGAAAACTCCAGCCACCTGACACCCTCCATCGCTTTCCCATGGGACGTCCGGTGGATCAAAATGTGGTGGCTGCATATGCGGCTGCCTTTGGGGCTCGAGCGCAATTGAAGAGCGTTGGCTTTTCATTCTTGTGTGACATCACAGGGCGGCTCTTTAAGTCCAAAAGAGTTGCTTTAAAAGACATGAATGGAAATACTGAGGCGGAACTGCTTCAAAAAATCAAATGTTTGTTTTAAAATGTGGTTTAAATATTTTCTTTTTTGTTGGGAAATGGTAGAACCAACATATTAGGGCATGCGGTATGCTTTGTACAGTATAAATGGGTATGGGCCCTGTGCGTTGTCAGGCCTTGAAGGCAGTGCTAACTGTCAGTAAAGGACTTGGGTACTACCCTGCGACAGTGTTCAAGGAGGCAATCCTCAAACATTATGTCGACTCAAGGCTCCTACCCAAAGGGATGCAGGTTCAAATGGACTGTATTCAGAAATGGTCTTTGAAAATGGGCTTGACTCTTCGACGGATGGTATCCTGCTATAGCATATATTTAGACAAATTTTGCATCGCGTATGTGCTAAATTATTTTTGCTTCCGAATTCTGCTATGGGAAAAGCCTTTCATCCAATCTAGCTGAGGCAAGTGGCTTCAGGCGGAACTACCGGCGAGCAGCAACTTCAAAATTGGCTGGCCTGAGGAAGTTGAAAGAAGATCTCATGGACGTAATTGCCCTTTGAAATCATTTGGATCCAAATTGTTTGGGTTTCTCTAGATCTTTGGGGAATGTGGGATATTTTACCATCAAAGTAGTGCGATTGGTTGTGATCCATGTTTGGTCTGAAATTGGTTTTAATTTTTGGCTCCATTTGTTAGTGGATATTTGGTTTTGGCTTTTTCCTCTTGGGTATGCTGTTCTGACAAGATAACAATTTCGATTGGTTCAAGGAAAAGGCAAAACTGACTTAATCCTTTGGCCCATCCCTGGTCTTAAGCCAAGTTGCATATATATATATACTCATCGGTCCAGACTCCTGCATTGGCTCATGGTCTCCCAAACAAATATTTGGTACCGACTTGTTTCAGACTTTGAAAGATTGCATGCATACATTTGTTCATCTACACGTCCATGCATATTATATATACATATTTATGTACACAGGTATTTCTTCGAAGTATACATATGTGTTCAGAAACATTCATTTTTCATATAATTAAAGTCAATCAACGCCCAGGAATTTACGCCTGGCAGTGGCACCTGGGATGGAGAAGATGGTGAAGATTGGGAAGAGTGGGAAGAGGACTGTTCCGACACTGAGACTGCTGACTCCCTGGGTGAGTTGGTGTTTCCCGATGAGACATCACATGACCCAATTTGCACATCAGTTCCCGACCAGAAACTCATGAATTTGGCACAGCAATTCTTAGAGGCAAAGAAAGTGTCCTATGGAGAAAGTTAAGGCAGGTGAGGCGCTTGAGGTAGCAAAGCCACCACGAGATTCCAAAACCGCTCAGCCACCGAAACCTGCTAGTGCTGCCTTGCCAGCCTTTGTTTCTTGACTGTTTATAAGAACATCCCGAAATTGTAGGCTTGGTTTATCTTGGCTTATTGTGACCCCAACTTTGTTGTGATATTACCATGTTTTTCCCCCTAAGAAAAGTTAAAGCACCATGCATGAACTTGATCCTACTTCAGGTGCTTGAGAGCATCAAGGGCTTGCAGGGGGAGGTGCCGAAGCCATTCCCAATTTCGAAGCAGTACAAGGAGCGCACTAAGAAGAAAGGCGTGGACAAGGAGGGCGACGCTGAAGTGACTGAGACAGAGGAATCCCCCAAATGCACCGAAAAAACAACTCTTTTTTCTAAAGGAAAGCCACAGAAAAAGAAAGTGGCTAAAAAGGCAAAGAAGGCACAGGTCCAAGAAAGTGCTGGTAGTTCAGGGTATGTCCCAGAAGTGTATTCAGCCAAGCGCAGCGCTTTCATTCAGAATTTGCGCAATGATGGTCATTCGTACCAAGTAGCCAAAACCACTTGGAACTTCAGCAGTGTGAAGCGTGAACTGTTGTCTGGTGTGAGTGTCTCAGAACTCAAGAGACGTCGGTTTCTTCCCAAGGGAGCCAGTGAAAATCCATGGGCCAAGTGAGCAAAATTGAAAAAAAAACAACTTTTACACGAATGCAGTTTGTGAGGTCAGTAAACCAACCTTACTGTATATCTTATTTCATATATGGATACGTTTGATTCTCGAGGGATTGCTCCTGAGCTTGGTTCATCGCGATTGGCACTTTCAATTCGGTGATGTGCATTTCTGTTTGCGGTGAGCCCCTGGTTTTTGTGGTGAGCCCCTAGCTGCAACATAATATATTTGTGTGAACTGGGTCAAAGCTTACTGTGACACGCATTACATCGATCTGGGGCTCACATGCTGCTAGCTTTTCCCACGAGGCATCTTAATCACGTGTGCTAGACACATGTGATGCACATGTAGGGCAACGGTATGATCTCAATTCAAGAGGCATTGACAAAATACCAGATCTGTTTGCATGACCAGGCAACCCTGGACTGGGATCCCCATATGCATGTTTGGATATTGAAGAAAGAATTACAGTATCGAAACGCCCTGTGTTCTATATGGAGTAGCATTTCTCAGTATCCATATGGTATAATATTTTGTCTTTCTTGGGTTCTACTGTATATACTGAGTATGCCTGTGCTTTGATAATAGCTCAGACCACCCAACTCCTCTCCTCAGTGGCATCGCCAAAGCCAGTATCCAGTGCAGAATGCATCATCGAAAGAGCTTGATCCTTGGATTCCCGCCGGTCTTTGCGAGGGAGCAGCCCGGAATTCTTGTCACAACAACTCGCCAGCTAAATATAATTGACAAATATGACACAGGTATACACAACATTATATGTGGTGGTTTCAATTCATTTTACCTCAATATCTTTGTTGGATTTTATAGCCATGGTGGTGCCGGAGATGCTCAATTTCCACGAAGGCATTCCCCAGCAAATCAGCCTACAATTTGTGGAGCTGTTCTCAGGGATGGGATGCGTTTCCCTGGGATTGTTATCGATTGGTATGAAGGGCACATCCCACGATATAGCTCTGTCGAGTCTCATGGACCTGACGACGACGAGGGGTTTTCTGTACCTGAGCGAATGTTTGTTTCCACGGGGCTAAGTCAACACTTACTCCCAAAACATGCCTGAGTGCATTCCTGTTAATTTGGAAACCGGGGTTATGATCACATATATATTTACCAACAAATATCAGTCTAATCATCATTCCCTCATTGCGTTTACTCTAAAGGGAAATTTGCATTTAATACCATCCCAATAATCTACATATTTTCCAAATCTGGTTGTTGATGGCTCCAAGGTTGGCATTGAATGAAGTTCGACGAATAGCTCGTGGTGGTCTTCTTTGGCTGGGATTGTGCTGCAATTCTTTCTCCAAAATGTTCTTTGGTTACAAAACATGTAGAACATCCAGGAGATGGCAAAGAAGTTTTCTTGTGAGATAGTCTGTTTAGGTAAATGCAACACATTTTCAATCCCAAACGATTCTGAGATTGGAAGGTGTGTATAATATATCTAAATATACCTATATATATATTTATATTTATATCCCTCCAAGAAAGCTAAGATCATTTCTGCTCTGGATACAGGAAAAAATATTGCCAAATTGATCCATAAAATCATGTTCGTTAAAACCATCTATACCAAAACGGCAAACCATGCAAGATTGGTTCAAAAAACAAAGAATAATTTATCGTGTGGGTTGGCTCTGGCAGAGCAAAGGTAGTATCTGGATGCAAAACATTCTTTGAGCCCAAAGGTATGCCTAGCCACACACACTATCTATATATATATATACCTATCTATCTATCTATTTCTATCATACCTTGGCCCCAGGTCTCGTGGGACACATGGTCGAGACTTTTGGAGACCTCTTGGAAATTGTGGGTATGGTTTCGTGGCCGTTGGAAACCTACTGGCTTGCCGCTGTATATTGCTCATATATGTGGCAGTTTCCAGAGGATTGAAATTCATCTTAGAACAACCAGATGGCAGCTCATTGCCATTACATCCAAGATGGGAAGAACTCTTGGGCCATGTCCAGGCCCTATGGATGGAAGGAAAAACAAATATTTTGGGTATGCGATGCTCTGGAATGTTTGCATATGGTTCATGGGTATGGCAAATAATCGTCATCACAGGGTCATTTAAAGGGAACATACGTATATACCATTTACCCTCTGGTAAATTAACGTAGCTATGGAAAATCACCATTTTTAATGGGAAAATCCACTATAGATGGCCATTTTCAATAGCTACGTTAAATTACCAGAGGGTATATAAGTATTTAAATCTCGATCATGTAACACATATACAGATTTGGATAGATAGATATAGATAATATATTTAGTTATTTCTGTGTGTACATTGATCTGACCACCCCAGACCATGTTTGATCTGACCATTTATGTATGGATTGTACTGCGTAATTCTAAATACAAAAACAAAATGTTCCCCTTATGGGTTTCTTTAAATTGTTTCATATTTTGTAATATTGCCTATCCAGGGGTCTATTTTTCCATCTCAATATATTGGTATATCAACCAGCCCCGCTCCCTGCAGATCTTCAGTTGCAGTTTCTGGATGGGTGCAATCGGAGGAGCAACGGCCAAAAGACATCGTCTTTGGAGCAACTGCAAGTCCATCCTCATGGAGGTCGATCGCCGGGCGGGCTACCTATCCCGTGAGGATATGTTAAAACTACCAGGTGGTCCACTAGTCAGGCACTACATTGACCAAAATGGCAAGAAAAGGCATGCTGGAATTCCCGGCAAACTCAGGGATAGCCAGTACCTAGTCATTATTCAACATGTATTGGTGCTGAAAGATTGTTTCTGCGAGATTTAGTTTTTTTGTTTGTCTTTATATCTAAATCTATACATGGTTTGGTTTCACCCCCATATATTCGGTTAGTTTGTTAGTTGGGTTTTGAAGGGATATGATCTGAGGCATTATTCCTTGGAATTTGGGCAGCTGATCGCAGACTTGGTGTCCAAATATATGACGGATTCTGTGGTTTGATTAGCCCATGAGTTGCTGTTTGTGGGGTGGTTTGATCATACCCCTTTAAACCCAAAAAAACAGCAATGGTGATTAAAGCCCATCCCAGGAAGAAATTCCTGCCCCGAAGTCTCCCGTCTTACTGGATTGGTCGCGCTCTGATGCTGAACTATTCAAAGACCATTTCGTGTTGGATGGTGACAACCGAAAAGCCCTGGGTGATTTGTGGCATGATGTCACTCATTTGTGCAAATTAGTCATAGTTTCCAATATTTTGTCCACTTGAAACTGGGTATGTATTTGAGTCATATTTATGTTTTTAACCTTGGAACATATGGTGTGCCCAGGCAGAGCTCCCTCGTGTCGTGCAATACTTAGCCAAGATTCGCGACATGAAGCCGCGTGGAAGCTGGGCCCCTCGCCTAAGCATCGGGATTCCTTATAAGTTCATTAATATGTGGTGCAATATGTGGATTCCTATGCGTTTATATATATAAACTGTATATATATATATATATGGGGGAAAATATATAACATAGGGAATTCCCCTATATAAAGCCAGTTAAAGAACCCCTATGTGTTTTTTTACATGTTTTAACTCCTTTGTAGCCCAGTCCACTCGAGGCTGACATTCTCAAGTTCTTGGACTTACGTCATATCGGATGACGTTTTGTTCAACTATGCGGCTGCAGTTGGATGGTGTGGCTTCTCCATGCCATGCGCAAGGTGTCTTCAGACACTTCAACTATTTCAATTAGATATCCACTAGAATGTGGGTAAATTAGAAAAATTAGGCTGTCCAAAACAATTGGATAACCTGACAAATTTCTTCACGGGGTGCAGCCGTGAAAATCCGGGATTTGGCCGTGAAAAAACCCCATTTGGCCGTGAAAATACCGGAAAAAACGTGATTTTTTTTTCATGGTTATTTTGAGTTTTTTATAGATGTGTTTTGAAAGTTTATGGATGTTTCAGGTGTTTTCCGTTTTTTTCACGTTTTTTCATGGTTTTTCACGGTTGTATGCCTTCGTTTTCGGATTTTTTCATGGATTTTCATGTTTTTTCACGTTTTTTCACGGCTGTATGTCTTTGTTTTCGGATTTTTTCATGGATTTTCACGTTTTTTCACGTTGCTACCGTTCCAGATTTGATGTGATTTGAAACTACTTTGATACCAACTAGCATTTCGGATTCAGAGGCTGCTATCAGCTGTTGCGGTGTAGTCATGGCTGACCTTTCTGGTCTTCCCTTTCCACCATCAGAACTCAGTTGGGACAAGCTGGGTGATGTGATGAAACACATGAAGTTGGGCAAATCACAGGCTTGTACAGTGCTGAATCTGGTACTGGGTGCCCCAAGCGTTTCTTAGTTGGAAAACAAAGCAGTTTTACTAAGTGGTCCCTGGTGGAAATGTATATTGACACTCAAAAAATAGTTTTCCCCAAACAGTTTGAGAATAACATGAGGCTGAAGACAAGGAAACGATCGACGCTATCGAGGATGACACCGTTGAACCGCGGAAGGGGAAGGCGAAGGCTGCGGCGAAAGCTAAGGCAAAGAACCGTACCAAAGTCCCCAAAAGTAAGGCGGCGAAGGCGAAGTCGGGTGCTAGTGATTCGACTCGTCCGAAGGGTAAGTCCAAGGAGCCCAATGAGCCCAAGGAGACCAAGGAGCCCAAGGAGTCCAAGGAGCCCAGGAAGCCCAAGGAGTCCAAGGAACCCAAGCCCAAGGAGCCCAAGGAGCCCAAGGTGAAGTCTAAGGGGAAGCCCAAGTTGAAGAACAAGTCGAAGAGCAAGAATGCCAAGGTAAAAAAACATGTTCTCAAAAGACCTGCCAGCAAGAAGTTTTTCAACTTATGTTTGGCAAATTTTTCGTTCCATGGGTGGGTCGGCATTTTTGCTGGGGTGTTCATGCTATAGGGTTTTGTTATGATAATAATGATCTCATTGGCTTCAGGACTATCGAACTTGAAGATTGGGAAGAACAGGGCGAAGAGGAACCCCATACCGAGGATCAAGAGGTTGTCCCGGAACCACCCCGAAAGCGTAGAGCACCACTTGCTGATCCTGAGCTCGGTGATGATGTGGAGCTTCCAGCACCCTCTCCAATGGACCATACTGGAGAGGAACACATGGCTGAGACTGCAGAAGATGAACCCAAGCCTGCAGAAGCTGCTGCGCCCCAGGATGTTGAGTGTGAGATGGAAGTGGGCAAGGACCTTGACAAGTCATCCAGCCCACCTGAGACCATGCCTGGGACCTTGAATGCTGAACCTGTTCCTGGTGACATGTCCTTCCCTTTGCAGGATTCGCAGGGGACGCTTTTGTACCCTGCCTGTTTTGTTGTTTTGTTCTGTTTCTGCTGTTGGTCGAGGCCTTCATTTGTAGGGTATACCCAACAAAGTTGACTTAATAGATGTTTCTTTGGTTTCTCTTCCAAGGTCGGGTGCGACTTTCCTGGAGGCCTACAAGACGGTTCCCGCCAATGAGCTGGATGCCACGGACACCCGATCTGTTGCTTCAATGTCCACAATCCCGTTTCTGGCCAGGCAAGATAACACTTACAAGTTGCTATTGTTGTTGTTGAAACTTTCCAACTTTATTAATTATGCAATATTATGCATTTGTTTTGGGTATGTCTGGTGTTCAAGGGTATGTGGCTATAGAGAGAGAGAGAGAGAGAGGTTTAATTTTGGACCAAGCCTTTTGCACATTCCCATCGTTGACAACTGTATATTAAGGCTTGGTGGTGATGCCTTACAACCCCATGACCCTGAATGGCTGAAGCAGCAAAATGCGGAGCTCCAGCGACAGCTTCGAGAAGCACATGCCCGTCTTGATGCCATGCATGCACGGCCCGAGCTTCGTCGAACCAAGCTAACTGGGGAAGCGGCTGACAAGCCATTGTTTGATGTTGAGGCTACTAGCCTTATTTTATTGCCTGGTGTAATTTTTTTCTGGATTGTTATTCCTGGTAATATTTCTGTCTTGGTTTTGATATATAAGGATCTGGATGGGGAGCCTTGGACCCCTGCAGAGCAACCTGCCGAACAGGAAGAAGGACCTCAGGAACCCACCCCACCGGAACCTACTCCACCGGAACCTACTCCATCGGAACCTACTCCACTGGAGCCTACTCCATCGGAACCTACTCCACCGGAACCTACTCCATCGGTACCTACTCCATCGAGTGTGGCTCTTGAGAAAGCAGCACCTGCCAAAGCTCTTGTCGCTCGCAAAGCGACTCTCCCAGGACCAACTTGGCCCTTGGACTCCCATCCCGACAATGTCAAGGCTTTCATGCAGAAGCATGGCATGGTGGTGGCTGCTGAACCAAAAGCTTCACCAAAGGCACCGGTACCCACCAGCAAGAACGATGATGCAGCATTGCAAGCTCTGATGGATTGTGACGTTCCATCAAAATCCGCATCAGGGTCGCGTGATGACCCACAGCTGGCTGAGATGGAGAAGTTTGTCCGTGAGACCATGGACAGGGGAGTTATGAAGATCGCAGACCAGGTGGCCGAAAAGGTGCAGAAAATCAATTGGTCAACACACCGCAAGGAAGGCATGCGGCTTGATCGAATGGTGAATTCGAATGCCGAAAACTTCCCCACATGGCAAAGCTTTGGAACGGTTCCAACAAGGACCCCAATCAAATTCATTACTCATGCTGACTTTTGAATTTGTGTCCATTTTTTTGTGTTGTGATTGTTCATGTGTTTAGTTACCATTAGGCATTTGTTCCAATAAAATGAAATGCAACCTGGGCAGGACCGTCTTCAGGTTTTGCGTGAATGGGTTTTGTCTGGGGAAAATGCTGACAAGAGTGAGAGTGCCATAGTCTTGCAGCGCCGCAGCCTTCAGCGGAATGATGCCAATGAGGAGTGTTTGACTCTCCAACAAATGTTTGAGAGGAAGATCCCCATTGAGAAAATCCGCGCTGTGGTGGCCAAAGGGGGTGGCATACCAGACAAGGACGCACCCAATGTCGCCAAGCTCACAGCCTATTGGATTGAAACGAGCCGAACTCGCTTGAACCGGGAGGACAGGAACCAAACTGCAGAATTTCGGGGGGCAGCAACGGCTGCTTCGACCTTGGATTCTCTCGAACTGGGCAATGCTGGGCCTCTATCAGCTGTGCATTCGGACATCGAGAGCTTGGTATCTCAGGCTCAGGAGGCTGCTAATCTTGGCCAGCCGGCAGCATCAGGAGGCTTGGGTTGGGTGAAAATGTCTGATTTCTGTGTGGTTGATTCTCAGGTGGTGTGTCGGTGTATATGCGTGTGTTCTTCTCGTTTGGTTTTTGCTTGAATATGTTAAGCCTGCCAATGAGCAAACAGTTCAGTTTGTTTGTGTTTTTGCTTCACCAAAGCTTTCCTCAACAAAACTCTTCCCTTTCAGGTCGTGCTCCCAAGGCAAAGGCAAAGGCAAAAGCAAGAGGAAGAAAGGAGTCAGGTGTGACTGAGGAAAGGCCTACAAATGAAGATGATCTGCGCGCTCTCTTGAGTTTGCTGGCAAAACAAGTTTATGTGTTCTTTTTCTTTTAGTTAGATGCTCAATTCCTGTACACGCTGGGTTTGTTAGCGAACCATAAACAAACCCATCCATATCATGCTTCCAGCTCATCCCCATATCTACCTTTTCAAGGTACTACGCTGAAGAAGGAGATGACGGCTTGCAACACTATCGCCCTTGATTTGCCCAAAGGCCACAATCTTCGCAAGTCACTGCTGCAGTACAAGCAGCGGTTTGAAGATGCAGTTGATGAGCTGCTTGATTTTGGCTGGTTATTGTATATGGTTATGATAAATTAGAGTTCCCTAATCAGTTGTGGATATCTATGGGAAAACACTCCTGAACAATTGAATAATATTAGGTTCGAATGGCCCCGAAAACAATGACTGCTGAACCCAAGCCTTGGGTGGAATCGTTTTTTGGTTCTTAAAAGCCTGAAAAAATGAGCAAACTTCAAATCTACCCTCTATCCATGAATTACCTTTGGCAACCATTGATTTAAGGGGTTCACTTCTTGGAATATCCAAGGTTGAAAGCCATGAAGTCGATGGCCAATCTTCAGAGCCTAGATTCCGAAGTGCGTGATGATGCAACTCGGTTTCAACTTAAGTCACATACAAAATTACATTTGTTCCAGAACATCATGTATATACATATATGTATATATATTTACATGTGTACCACAGCAATCTTGATTTCAAGAAATACGTATAGGTAGCAATCGGCTCAGTCAAACAGATATCCCACTATTCTTTGTACCATGCTAGCCACATGCAATGCCCAGGTCTCCAAAGTCAGGATGATCAAAGCCCAAGCACGGGCAGTTGTCTCGGAGCTCCGCAAAGGATGAGCCTGAACGATGCTGGATCAGGGACATGGTGTGGCGATATCAAGTAATGGCTGTAGCACCCTGATAATTTTGGGTCTTGGATCCTTGAATTTTGACCACTGCGCGTTTTTCTTGGTAACAGTGAAAGAAAAACATGTCGAACAACAAAGTAATAAACCATTTGAATTTGTCAGTCCACATCGCAGTGGGGGGTTGGATCGCCAAGAAATGACCCTGGGGTTGATGATATGCCAACCTGCTGTTAAACACGTCATAGAGTTGGGTTTTGAAAACGGGGTTCAATCATTTTTTTCGCTGAACACTTTTCCTGAATCACCAAAAGCTTATTGACTATAGGTAAATCAAAAACCATTGTATACATTTATTGCGAGGTGTCTGGTAGAACCCAACTGGGCGTGTTGGTTCAGCGCTTGAAATTTCCATGCTGCTGATCGTATATGGTCTGTTGTTGGCTTCTGTGGCCAACTTAGTGCAATGGGGATGAACCTCATTTGGCCGCTCTACCTCTAGATGACGCAGTGAAAAGTGCGAAGTGTTCCAACCAAATCTTGAAACATCAAACATGAACCACCAAATATAGATCATATGGGGTGATCTTCACATTTCCCAACGCAGGTTCACACCGACAAGGTCTCACTGAAGAGCAACTCAAGGATTTGCGGGACGTGCTGCTTGTTGGCATGATGGTGTTCTTAGAGCTCATGGGTTTTCACAATAAGTCTGGGTTCAAATTGATGTAGTCTATCTTAGGTTGTCCCGTGGTGTGGGTTCTGGACAAACTACTGTGCGACATGCCCAAGAAGTTGGGGCCATCTTGGGGGACGAAGTCTTCAACCAGCTCTTGGCCGAAACAAAAGCAAATGTTTTTCAAGTTTTCACCTATTGGGACTTTAAAAAGGAAAACAGGTCTGATGGTTAATTTTGTATGGTTCCCCCCAATGGGTTACACTTTTGCGTGTGTGTATATAACTGTTGTGTATATATATATATGTTGACGATAGATAGAAAGCTAGATAGTTAGATAGATAGATCGATAGATAGAGAGACAGAGAGATAGATAGGTACATAGAAAGATAGATAGATAGAGAGACAGAGACATAGATAGGTACATAGAAAGAAAGATAGATAGATAGATAGGTAGATAGATAGAAAGATAGGTAGGTAGGTAGATAGATTCGATTAGATTAGATTAGATTAGATTAGATTGGATAGATAGATAGTTAGATAGATGAAAAGATTGATAGAAAAATAAAACAAACATACATATATTTATATTTTTAGGTATATGAATATATATATATATACTTATACATGTATGTTTAAAAATATATATATATATAGATAGATAGATAGATAGATCGATAGATAGATATCTATATCTATATCTATATATATATATATATCATGTTCAAATCTGGGCCAGCCCATGTCACCCACATGATGCTCATACTGCCAGGCCTGGGCAGACTGAAGCTCGGGCTCACAATTCGGCAATTCGGAAGGCAGAAGCCTTGCCGTGCGAAATCCAATGGCTGCAGATCCCCTTATGTACTGGGTACAAAGAGGAGGATGAACCTATCATCACTATGAAGGAATGGCCGTTTATACTCCCACATCTTTTGGTACAATGCTTAGTTGGTTGAGAACTGGTGTTGTAAATTCACCGTAGAATTGTTAAATTTCTGTGGTTGGTCCCCGAAGCCCAAGGTTCAATCCATGGTCGATGCTGGGTATCTCAAGCTCTTGATTGATTTTGACATAGCGGAAGACTATTGGACCCATATGCTCAAAGATTTCCCTGGGCACCCAGCAGGGGCATCAGCTACTACATCTATTCCTTTGACACTGTATGGTCACTTATCTGACACCTATATGGAATCTAGGGGTTGGTGATGTAGCTGCATGGAATATAGTCGCCCACGTCACAACATTGGTTTGTATATTGCTTTTAACACCTTCCATCTCAGGTGATGAGGGACAAGCTCTTGGGGACAGCTATATGTCTTTTCACTTCCAACCGGATTTGTCACCTTGGCTATCGAATGCTGGAGTGAGCCTATATCAAAAGATTACGTTTTTCTTTACCAAACCCCCAAATCTCTCATGGTTCGAAATCCCTTTGTATAGGTTTGCATTTATGTATGGGTATTTGGCCTGGCATATCTCAGGAGTAGATTTCTGATCACCACCATCCCGTCCAACATGTATGTCTTCAACCAAGATGGTATCAATTTGACACTACAATCAGCTGCTGCCATCATCGTGGAAAGCATGAACAAACTGTCCACTAGTGGAGTTGATGTTCGTGATGTTCAAAGTGATGAAGTGTTTTAATGTTTGAATTGGCATTTTTTGTCCAATAAGAAATTTATTTGGGTGCACCAAACAACTACGAAATTTGGGGATGAACTGTTTTTTTGGTAGCCAATCCAAACTTATCAGGTACTGACCATGCGGTGCTTTGTTATGAGCTTCAAGGGTGACTGGAAGTATCTAATTCAACTGTTCAACATGACCAATACCCCCAGCAAAGAGCAGGCCAGGCCTCCCATGGGTGTGGGTTCTGCCCATGGACATCCGAGCATATGGTGGGAAATGAGGAACCTTGAGATATATGGCATATGATCAGGCCATATATATATAATTATATATGTGCCATATATATATATATACACGTTTTCCTGGATCTTTGTGTTTTATCTGGTTGAAGTTTTGGAATTTAAATTCGGGTTGTTACCCATTGCAGGTCTGTTGGATGCGCAAGGCTTCGAAGGGATCACGTGGAGACCTTGAAAACTGCTATGTTAATCTTGATCCTCAAGCTTCATGGCGTTCGACCATTGGACAAGATTCCCCTTGGCAACATCAACCTGAATACAGTAAGCTGATTGGGTTTGACCCCTTGATGATTTCCATAGACCCTATGCATTGTTGGCATCTAGGCACTGGCCGAGACCCTTCATTTGTGAATCTCAGCAACTTTTGGACCCATAATTTATTATTTGATATATATGTTTTACAATTTTAAAATACATCTATCGAATGACCAACAAAACATTTAGATGGGAACCCTTACTCACCCATAAGACCTAGGATGTTGTGGCTTCAGCCATCAAGTACCTGGTTCTGAAACGTTTCTGGCCTGGCCGAAATCAAGAACATCAACTGGCATGTTGTAGCAAAAGATTGCTACGATACGCGAAAGCCCACAGGCTACCTTTGCGATTACGAAAACTTACCAAATCAAATTTGGGATGGAGCACGGGAACATGCCCAGAGCTTCATTGCAAAGCCTTTGACACATATGTCGTTTTGCGATTTCTGGTTTCAGAGGTTACCTCGAGAGACTGTGGATCTTTGATGGCAATGAAACATAGCATGTTCTTCTCAATGTTTGTTTTTTGTTCAAGTCTGGGGGGAAAGAAACTTCGAAGTTGAACCAATGACAACACAATTTGAATATCTAAATTTTCCAACACCATGCGATGCCTAGGTGACCCAGATTTGGCAACTATGCTTTGGGCAGCTGACTCATTTCTGACACTTCTTCACAAAAGTGGACATTTTCTGACCCCTGAGGAACAAGAGCATCGAGTAGTCGTAGGTGAGCTGTTTTTGAAAGTTTACACGAAGTTAGCAGCAAAGGCTGTAGCCGAAAAAAAAAACTTTGGCGCACAAGGCCGAAGTTTCACATGTTATGGCACTTGGTGTTCCAGGAACGCCGTAGTAGAAGTAACCCGGTCATGGGTTCCTGTTGGATGGATGAAGATGCCATAAAACGTTTTTTCCAAGTGAAAAAACGAGTACATAAATCGTCGGCGACCCTGAACTGTTTGAGAAGATGGCTGTTGGGGTTGGCTGGTCAGTTTCAAAAGGTTCTGTCTTAAACATGCTGCTTAATCTGCATCAAACGTTTGGTGCCTGACACCTCGCCAGCCTGGGCGATAGAAAAAAATGATGTGCTGGGATCTGGTACCAGGATGTCTGATGAACTGTTTTTCTTGTCTTTTCTCTGCGCGCCCATTGTGCAGAGAAAACACGTTCTGGTTTATTTACTAGGCATGCATGTAGACATGTATAATATATTTTAGATAAATAAATATGTTATAATATGTTTTACTTGTTTTTACAAGATATCTACATATATGTTATGCAATTAGAAGAGAAACTTCTGAGTTACGGAAACATACTTGCAGAAGTGCCCAGCGCAAGACCATTGTTGCAGACTGTCGGTGATATAGGGCGAGTAAAAAAGATGACATTGTTTCTTGGCTCAAGGGTTGGCTAAGGTAGCTGCCACTTTGGGACAGCCATTTGGCCGGAAAAAACCGTGAAAATTTGGGACTGGCTCATTTGTACCTACTTGGGCCCCAACTAAGGTCAAATGAGGCTATGTACCAACTTAGTTGGTACGAACGACGCTCCAGGTTATGTATGACAAAGTTGTGTGTGTGTGTGACAAGGTTGTATGCTCAGCAAGTCGACATGCAAGTGGTCTGGATTGGTAGTTCCCCAAATAGTGTGTCCACACTGAGGGGTTCTTACGGTAAGTGTAGAGGCCGATGCTTGATCAGGGTGCTCACTCTGGTCTGCGCCATTTTACCCTATAAATTTCCGCATAGAGTGGCTCTTGTGAAATCTTGACATGCGTTTCGACTGCGCAGGCTCGCACAAAGTGCGTGTCCGCGTTCTGGGCCCATTTTGGGCCGCAGTATTTTTTGTGAAAATTTCGGTATAGAGTGGCTCTTCTGATGCCTCTTGTGACTCACTCATGGACATGCATCTCGACTTCGCAGGCTCGCGCAAAGTGTGTGTCCGCGTTCTGGGCCCAATCTGGGCCGCGGCATTTCTCCTGCAAATTTCTGTAAAGTGGCTCTTCTGATGACTTTTGTGACATGTGCATGGACATGCATGTCGACTGCGCAGGCTCGCACAAAACCTGTGGCGTGGTCTGGGGATCGGTCCTCCTCCTCCACATCAGCATCCTCAGTATCATCATCTTCCGCCTCCTCCACATCATGATTCTCAACATCGTCCTTTTCCTCCTCTTGACATCATCATCATCATCATCATCATCGTCATCGTCATCGTCATCGTCATCGTCATCGTCAACAACAACATCGTCATCTTTCACCTCATCATCCTCAACATCACCGCCCTGCACATCATCATCCTCAACATCCTCACCCTCAACATCATCACCCTGCACCTCATCATCCTTAACACCCTCATCCTCAACATTATATATCATCTTCCTCCTCATCATCATCATCAGTAATCTGAACATCATCATCTTCCTCCCCTTGACATCATCATTCTCAACATTGTCATCCTCCAACTCAGCTTCCACAACATTATCATCCTTTATCATTATCATCCTTTTCACCATGTACGTTATCCTCCTCAACACTACCGTCATCAACATCATCATTTTCCTCCTTCTCAACATCACCATCATCATCATCATCGTCACCATCATCATCATCATCATCATCATCAATATCATCATCATCCACATGATCATACATACCTTCCCCCTCCCCCACATCGTTTGGGGTCTCTTGCCGGGATAACGTTTTTTTCAAGAGAAGGAACAGGCAGGAAATGAACCGAAATGAAAAGAATGGACGAAAGTGGGAAGAAATGAAAAGAAATGAAAGCAATGAACAAGAAGTGAAAATAAATGAACAAACATGGAAAATGATGTTGTTTTTTTCCTGTGTTGCTCTTTGTTTTGTTTTAATCTCTTGGGTTTCGCGACAGTGGGATAACCTGCATTTGATTTTTAATTGAGAACATATTTCTTGAGATCAAACATATATGTGTTTCTCTTTGTTTCTCTTTTTGTTTTTTGTTGCTATTTTTGACCAACAATGCAATAGAAATATTTGAGAAAAATGTTGTTTGCAGAAAGCATGTGATTGCTAACGTGCTGCAAGGGTGTTTCTGGTGCGATGTGCTGTGAGAAAAATCTGAGATTGTTTGCGGGTGGCCAGCGTTGTCAACACAAAGTAAGTTTTGATAGGCCACAGCCTGAACAGAGTAAATGGAATGAGGTAAAATCATTTGAGTTCTATCTATGTTTTTTTTGTATATGTGGTTCTTTTTATTTCTTTTCTTTTCATTTTAACTACCGTTATTTCTCTTTATTTCTTTTTTCTTGTGAACAAATGCTTTTTGATGATTTTAAATGCGTTTTTTGATTTTTGGACCAACCAAACCATGTTGAAACTAATCTACTGTAACCTGCGCCACCACTGGTCTTGCTGATATGTCAGAGAGATGTGTGTGAAAGATGGTGTGTTTAACAACGTTGTGTGTGAGAGAGATGTGTGTGAAAGATGGTGTGTGACAAAGTTGTGTGTGAAATATGTGTGTGTGAGATGTGTGTGAAAGATGGTGTGTGTGTGTGTGACAAAGTTGTGTGAAAGATGTGTGTGAGAGAGATGTGAAAGTTGTGTGTGAAAGTTGTGTGTGAGATAGATGTGTGTGTGTGAGGTAGGTGTGTGACAAAGTTGTGTGTAACAAAGTTGTGTTGTAAAGATGTGTGAGAGAGATGTGTGTGAAAGTTGTGTGTGTAACATCGGCACAGATGTAAAACTTCTGCTATACATTTTCTTAAACATATACTGTAACACCTCCCCGGGACCCGTGTAAAGGTACTCGCAGGACTTCGGTGGTGCACCTGGGCGCATTTAAATCGCAGCTGGTGGCCACCGTAGTCATATATATAATATATATATATAATATTTAGCGACGGACAATTACTTAGAACGTATTTTTCCAGTCTGTTCTTTTTCTACTTAGAACGTAGGCATAAATCAACACTTACAATAAAGGCATATTTTCAACACTTAGAACATCACCCAACACTTAGAACATACTCGTAGGGGCCAATTCAACACCTAGAACATTCCAAGTCGTTGTCTGTTGCACGTGTATGAAGAAGCAACATATGATATGTATATACATACATTTAAATATAAATATATATATATATATATATTATGGGTACGTTCTAAGTGTTAAATTTTGGGTACATTCTAAGTGATGAATTCATTCCCACCATGCTCTAAGTGATGTAAATGTGACACTAAGAACGTCCTTCCAGCTGTAATGAACAAAAAGTCTTCCCAAAATACGTTCTAAGTATATATTTGTTCGTCACTATTAATGTTAAGTTTTTACGGGCTTCAGTTCCCGACGGATCACTCCAAAGATCCAGCTCTTGTCTAATGTGATTTCCATGGTTGGTCCAACATGGTGCCATGGATCCATTTGAGGGAACCCATTCATGGGAGAATGCAGACGAACTGACCTCCGAATTTACACATTTATTCAATTTATTGTGGTAATTCGTTTAAGTATAGTGAAACAGTCGGCCTTACCGTTCCTCACCTTTTTTGCAACGTCCCGCTGCTCAAATCGTCTATGTGAACAGTCGGAAATTTTCCAACTTTGCTCAAGAGAGACGGAATGCAAAGTCAGAAACCAGGTTTCTACCACGGACAGAGTTTCTGCCTACATGACATGCATGCTTCAAGACAGGCTTCAGGTCGATGGCTTTTTCCTGCAGGTGTGGTCTTTTTTGGTATCTGGTGAGGTTGACAAGTTGTGCACCTAATTCGTGAAGAACTGAAAGCCGTCCAATGCCAATTCGTGGGTGGACCGACTACCGTCCCTTCGAGGGAGTAGAGCACGACCTTGCAAGTTTGGGACTGGATCGCAATTCAACCTTGTAACCCCGTTGGTCCCTAATTATTCCTCTAATCCCCCATGCCCCTCTGTAGTGTGTCATGGGGTTCTTGTGCGTGCTCTGTGCCGGTTAGGTCCGTTTCTCCGTGTAGGTTGGTTCTGGAGGTCCGTTTGTTCCCCTGCCCCCCCCCCTGCGCTGTTTTGTCCGTCGGCCCGTCTTTTGTGTCCGCTTTTTCTTTCTCTTGCCTTTTAGGGCTGACCCGGCTTTGGCCGGGTGTGTGTGTGTGCGTGTAACATCCGAACAGATGTAAAACTTCTGCTATACTTTCTTTTTTACATATAGCGGGGTGTCACCGGAATCCCGGGGGGTCGGTGACCAACGAAGACACCTCCCCGAGACCCGTGTAAACGTACCCACAGGACTTCGGTGGTGCACCTGGGCGCATTTAAGTCGCAGCTAGTGTCCACAGTAGTCAGATATGTAACATAAAATCATTTAACAAATGGAAATAAATGGAATATAATATCATATAATGTTGCATTTGTTAATTTAATATCATTTAATGAAATAGAATTTCTAATATCATGTAATTTAATATAATATAATTTGATATAGTGTAATGAAATATAAAATTATGAATTGTAATTTCTCATATCATACAAGTTAATCTAATTTAAAATGAATATAGTTTAAAGAAATATATTTTAATTTAATGAAATATAAGTTCTTAATTTAGTTTTACGTATAGTTTAGTTTAATACAATATTATTTAATTTGTTTTTTTAAATATAATTTCATATCATATCATATTATTGAGTTTAATTCTCTTTGAACTTAGATAATATAATGAAATACTTTTTCATAAAATTTAGCATATTATATTTTAAGATAATATATTTTCATATGTTAATATAAGATAAACTATAGTTTAATATGAAGTATAATGTAATATTATATAGTTCAATATTGCAGAATATAATTCAAATCATTTAAAATAAAATATCAAAGAATAGAATGTAATATAATAGTTTAGAATACAACTTGCAACGTAACTCAATTTAATATAGTATAATATGTAATT